TCCGACCACGGTGGTTGGGGCAAAACGGAGGCGGTGGCGCTCCGACGAGGTGCGGTGCAGCAACGTAGGGCTCCAGTGGGCTTCATCCTCGACTAAGGTGAGCGCGGTGTGTCTCGTCATGGCGGAGCCAGTCAGGGTGTCAACGTCGCCTTTACCGTGACGTAGAAGACGCGGTGGTCTCGCCATGGTCATGCTCTGACCATGGTGAGCGCGTGCGATGTGTATGCATGGCATGAGCAGAGGGCTCGGCGCTGGTGTTCCTGAGCAGAGGGCTCGGCGTCGCCCCCTTTCTTCCCTTTGCTTCGCGTTTCCGTTTGGCTCATCAAGAGGGTCGTGGTGGTCCTTCTATGCTACCGGTTGGCTAAGCTGGAGCAAGAGCTCGTGCTCCGACGTGGTCCGTTCATGGCGTCCGAGAGGCTAGGTATGGTCGTGCCAGTGTTCCCGAGCAGCTAGGGTCGGTGAGGCCAGTGCCTTGGGCTTGTGCGCGTGCGGTGCGTGTGCAGCGTGTCTAGGAGCGGAAATGCTCCGCCTCTGTGTTTTCCCTAGGTGCGGGAACGCGGTGGCGTTCATGGCGAGTACGGCTAGCACGGTGAGCGACGAACGACGTGGCTCACCGTAGGGCTCGTGGCGGTAGGATGGCGGTGCGGTGGCGAGGCGAGGCCGTGATGAGGTGATGCAGTGCCGTGCCGAGCAGCTACATCGCTGTAGCCGATCGGGGCGGCGCTCCTAGCTCCGGCGAGGTCCGGTTCCACAGCGGCTTCCATCTCCTCCTTGCTTCTTCCTCCTCCCTCTCTCTCGGCTTGACGCGGTGTGGTGCTGTGCCACCAGTGGCGGCGGCGAACGGGCTGAGGGTTAGGGCTCACGAGCATTGGCTTTTATAGCCGAGCTTCAAGGGCTCCTATGGCGGATGGTGATCGGGCGGTGGTGATGCATGCGACGCATCCGACGGCCCGCATGCGGTAGCGTAGGCGTGGCTCAAGGGGAAACAGGGTCATGCGATGTGCGTGACCCTGGGCCCACGTCTGTCACTTCGGTCGAGTCTCGGTCGGAGGCGGTGCCGGCGTGGGGAGGAAGACGACACTATGGCTGGGGTGGCTGATGCGTGGGGTTCGGTTGTTAGGCGCTTGGCGCGTTGTGGCTGCGTGCGGCGCGTGACGGCTGACGGGCGGGTCCAACTCGTCAGCGGCTGTGTGCGTGAAAGGGCAGGCGTGGCTCAGCTAGGCTAGCTGGGCCGGTCGAGGCAGGCGGGGCTGAGTTGCTGCCTCCCTCCTTTTCCTTTCTCTTTTATTTCTTTTGCTTCGATTCAAATTTAGTTAGAGTTTAAACTTTGAGCTTCGAGTTATATAGTGCGTCCCACAAGGTGTTTCAATTTGTGGTCAAAATACATCCCATATATTAGGGACTATTGGCTATTTTTGTTATTCAAAAATAGTTGAAGTTTTATACAGGGGTGTTTTATTCTTCCAACAATAATTCTTTACTTAGGGTTTTTCATAAATATTAAGTAAGTTAGTTAAACATCACATAAAGCAGAAGAATCCAAATCACAAGTGAAATTAAGGATGCATGCATTATTTGTTTATTTAGGAATTTAATTACATGTTTATGCCAAGAGTTATGCCATGCTTATGTGTTGACTTGGGTTGGGGTTAGACCTAATGCATCTCTTAGGTTGAGTTTCTATACATGACACTCATCATCACATGGGAGTTTAAACAAAAATTTTGTAGTTGTGAGTTTTGGTATGTGGATTTTTGGGTTGTTACACACAGAACGTGAAAGGACATGGCGAGGGCAGGGGGGCAGAACCACATGCTCCAATTTTAGACGCCCGGCGCAGTGGACCAATTCGGATGCGGATGGATGGGGAAGACTTTGCAATGCAGAGAAATGTAGAGCCACGACGAGAACGATACAGAGATCAATAGCAATGCCAGGCGAGTACACTGCACGCCACGCCAGGAAAAATAAATGAAGCTGCTGCGCTCGTCCAGTACACCGAGAAGAGAAACCGACGTAGGTAAGTAGAGAAAAAGAAAGAGCAAACAACGACTCGACAACGCGGCGCGACGCAATAAATTGGATGACTGACGGATTCAGAGCAGGGGGCGCACCACCATATTCAAGCGGCCAGAAGGCAATGAGGCAAGGACAGCAGCAGGGCGTGGCTGCCGAGCAAAAAATATTTCCTCCACATATCACTCTCATTCCTATTTATTTTATTTTAAGTTTTAACCCGATTAACTTCCACCAATAATTATTTCACGCAAAAGTTCCCACCTCGCACTAACCCATAGCAACAAAATATTTAAGCACTATTTAATTACTTTGCTCAATATAGTTTGCCAAAAATGGCATTTTAACATAGGCTCAAATATTTTAAATTTTAAAATCCAAGAAACTCGATCCTGGAATTTTTCTTAGGCCTAATCATGGTACTAAACAAGCTCGTAACACCAGAGGTGTTACATCATGCCAGTGTGGATTTGAGTCAGCAGGACATGTGAAATGTCCCTCCTTCCCTTTTCCTCTCCACCCACGTAGCTGGCATTTTCGCCCCGTTCTCCTGACGGCCGCGACAACTCGCGCGCCCAGCGTTGGCCATGCTGGTACTCCTAGGCACGTGCAGCGTGGCACCTCATGCTCGGCGGTGGCGGTGCTCTAGCTAGGCAGCGGCGCGCTGTTGCCCATGCCCTGGCCCGACAACGGTCCACGCGCTCGCACCGTGCCTCGGTAGCTCGCGCCCTAGCGGTGCCCGCGCTCGCAGCCTAGAACATGGCAGCTCGTGCCCGGCAGCGGCGGTGCTCCGGCTAGGTGGCGGTGCCCGCGCCCTAGCCCGACGATGGCGACGACGCCCGCACCTTGCATGACGCCTGCAACAACCAGCTCTCCGGGCAGGTGCCCGACGCCATGCGCGCCATGTTTGGCCTTGCCTCCTTCGCCGGCAACGCTAGCTTCCAGAGGTTGGCGAGGTCTGCGAGACTGCGACCAAGCGCCAAAGCACGTACTCATGCACGTAGAAGGAGCCACGAGTGACGCGCATGCCATGAATGGGCCCAGGGTGCGTGGCCACGCAGCACGCGAGCACACGCACTATGGGGACATTGGAGGTCCCGCCGGCGCCGTAAATCAACCTACTATCGGCGGACGCGGCCCGGCCATCCACGGCCGCCAGCCCATGCACGGTGCATGTGTCGGCGGCCATGGACACGCGCAGCAGCCGCCGCACCGCCACAACGATGCCCGTCAGCGCACAGCTCCATGGCCAGCTCCGTAACCCTCCTGATGCCAACCACGGGCGAGGGCGAGGGCGAGGACGGCGGCGCGTCAAGCTCCACCTCGATGGCCTCGTGCGTGGCGTCGACTTCCCCGACCAACACGCAGTTCTGGCCCAGCGGGCACGCGTGCAGCCGCTCCAACATCGCCACACTGATCGCCTCAGTTACGGAATCCAGCAACTGGCGTCTACGTGCGCGCGGCACGAGAGCTCCTCGTCGTTCGTTAGCTTCGTCGTCCATGGCTTCATCGTTAGCGTCCAGCTCGCTGCTGACCTCGATGGCCTCATCGCGGCAGCTGTTGTCTGAGGCCGCCGACGGCAACCACGCAGCCATCGGAGGAGGAGAGGGAGGAGCTCCTCGCCCATATCCGCTCCGCCGGAGGAGGAGATGGAGGAGCTCCTCGCCATGTCGTTGGAGGTGTGCTTGAGGGAGAGGGAGGGAGGATCACCGCTAGGAGGGGAGGTGTAGCACACCATCGGGAGGGGAGGACCACGGAGCTGCATGCTGCTCGAGCGCGAGCGTTGACAAGGGAGGGAGGGAGAGAGAGAGTGGAGGGAGGGGAGAGGGCGCACCGTAGGGAGGGTAGCACCGCTGAGCTGCGAGAGAGAGGGAGAGTGGAGGGAGAGAGGCGCGCCGTGCGACGAGGGAGAGAGGGAGCCACGCCCTACGACGAGAAGGAGAGAGTAGGGGCAAGAGAGACATTTGACGCCCATATGCTGACTTGGATCCCTGCTGGCGCGAGGGTTGGCGTGCCACGTGAGTAAAAGTTGCATTTTGTATCTATTTTCCATCTTTGCTGGTGAAAATGTAGCGGCAACCGTTGAGATACTATCTGAGGAGATGCCAATCTTCATAATGGAAAAACGTTAAATCTCTCGAGGTAAGCAAACGGCTAAAACCCCAACCCATTTCCAAACCCCTCCTCCGACCTCCTCCTGACCCGGCCCTCTCTTTAATTTTTTACCACTCTTACAGAAAACATCATAACATATATCACTAACATATAAGTCACTAATATGCTATTAAGTCATCTAGTAAAAAGTTAATTATTCCCCTATCGGCCGCCGCCACCATGCTCCGCGCTGCCCTCACCTCCGGTGTCGGTCGCCTCACCGCCTTTGTACCCCGCCACCTGGGTCGCCTCCTCTCCTCCTCTTCCTCATCATCATCCACCATCACCGCCCTCTTCTCTAGCCCCACCCCGCCCACTGACCCACCACCGCGATCCAGTCTGTTGGCGTCGACCTCAACCACCCGGACACCGTCCCCGCGCTCCTTCTCGATCTGGGGCTCACGGGAAACTACCCCATGGCCTCACGGTTCTTCTCTTGGGCCACCTCTGACCCCACCACCAAGGCCGTGCTCAACTCCTGGTCCATCAACTCCATGCTCTAGCTCACCGCCGCGCACGGTGATGCCAAGCGCTTCTGGTTTCTCGTCACCTCCATGTGGTCCAAGGGCTACGGAATCTCCAAGGCCGCCTTCCGTGCTGCCTCTGAGAGCTTCCAGGCCAAGGACATGGCCAGGGACACCGACCTTCTCTAGGACGCCTTCGCTGCGCACGGCAGGAACGCGGCGGCGGCCGAGGTATGTAAAATTCTTTGGGCGCCAAGCAAGGATGACTCCTCAAAGCTAGCCATGCTGAGTGAATTAGGCATTGAGGTGACTGATGAGTTGGTGGCATTGGTGGTGGAGAAGGTCGGGCAGTTCCCGCGGTAGGCGATGGTGTTCTTCCAGTGGGTGGAGCAGTCGGATAGGTCAGGAATTGGCTGGGGCAAGTTTTACAATGCAATGGCAAAGGTTCTCGGCCATGAGGGCTGCATCCAGGAGTTCTGCGAGGTCTTGCGGAAGATGAGGGGTAAGGGGCTTGAGATGGATCGGGATGTGTATGTTACTGTCACCGACAGGTTCCTCAAGAGGAAGATGGTTGAGGATGCAGTGGACTTGTTCCGATTCATGGCAAATAGGCCAGAGAAGCTCTCGAAGGAGGATTTTGTTGTCCTGCTGAAGAAGGTTGTGGTCACCGGTGATTTGGATCTTAAGTTGGTAACAAGGGTCGTGAGATACTATCAACATGCGGGCAATGACGTCAAAGCCTTCACCTTTCATTCTGTTCTCAAGTCATTGAGGAGTGTGGCGAGGCTTGGGGAGAGTGGTAGAGTGCTCAGGGCGATTAAGGAAGGTGGTTTTGCACCAGACAGTGTTGATCATGAGAAAGCTATTCTTGCAATGTGTGATGCTGGCAATCTTGAAGAAGCACACAATTATTTGGTTGATGTGGAAAAGTCAGGGCATAAGTTGGGTTCAAAGGTGTCATGTGGGGCCAACAGTACAGTGTGGCAGAACCTCCTAAATTATAGGACCCACATACATTTGTCACTGTCCAAAGACCTTTGACAACAATGCATATGTTCCTAGTAACTTAAGAAGTCGGTCGGGTGTCCTCGGGGAACCCCGAATCATCCACGATTTCTGAGCAGGATCACGTTACAGAGTCATTGTAGTATTACAACAGTTTATTCAAATAGACACATCAGAGTAAAAGTAGCGGAAGACTTACAATAACATAGTTTACAAACCATTTGTTTCAAACCGTACAACTAAGTTCGATATTAATACAAACCAAAGTAGTGGAGCGGCATTATAATATAATACAAAACACACAATGAGGCTCGCTTCGCCTTAAAGGGCCACATTGAATTACTTCTCAACGTCATCACTAGTACAAATCATGCAAAGACGATCCAAAACAGATCTGCTCATGAGGCTCACACAAATAAGGGTCAACAAACCACGAGTACAAAAGTACTCAACAAGACTTAACCGAAATAAGAACTAATAACTCGTGAATGCAGGCTCGAGGATTCAAGGTATGGTTTTAGCAATAATCAAAGTTATTTTTATGTAAAAGCTCTTTGACAAAATTCTTTGTTTCAACAGTTTAAACTTCATAAAATCATATACAAAGATGACACGATCCGTAATGAGATCATGAAACTTCATATCCAACACCTTCATCAACCATTCTCAAGTTCCAAATATTAATTACTACGATGATGAACGAAGAGTTGAGTCTCCATAACCGAGGAGCAACGACGATTCAACCGATTATAAACCCACCGGGGATTCCAGACCACACGACATATGCGTGTCCCCGACCTACATATACCAACCTATTCTCGGATCCTCTAAAACAAGAACGGGTCCGCGCCACCCGAGAATACAAGATACTCCACCAATCCAGCCCATTGCCACGTGGGTACACGCTATTCCCGCCATCTCTCCACTCCCAGTGCGCGAGTAGCCATTCTCGTAATAGAATTGCCAAGTTCAGGCTTACCGGAGTATGTGGTTAGTACTACAAATTCTCACCTTATGCAATTCAACAACAGACGTGCCTTAATCGACACAGGCGGAAAGATCCCGCTCACAAGACCTCCATGTCTTGCGGCTCACACACACCGAGTCCGCCCGGTCTAGATTTATTACTCCACATTCCCATATCACATGCTAACATAATTAACCAATGTTCCATTTAAAACTTGCAGGTGGCAGGTAGTCACCGACTTCATCGTTCTACGCATAGCTAAGCAAAACTAGGCATATACGAGTTCAAAACTGGTAATATGGTAAATATGGAATAACAAGGGTGGTAATGCACCAATTAGGCCCTTACTTAACTCTTAATCACTTAATGCAGTAATGGAAAGCAAAAGCGAAATTAATTTGTAAAACACAAGGTAGGGTTGTATGCATCCGGGGCTTGCCTTCGTTGATGGAAAAGTCCGGCTCCTGCGACGTTTCACAAGTCTTCGATCCGACCTCAACAGATAGATCAACCTCCTCCGCAACTTGATTAACTACCACGTGTTCACCTTCGTTTACTACACGTAGTAACATTGCCATGTTTAACATGATGCGGAATATGAAACATGATGCTCGATGATGGATGCAAAAATTAATAAATTGGATACAATTTTCCTTCGTAGTACAGTTACAAACCAAACTAACCAAACCATATTCGTAACTGATGTGACCACGCCAGCATCGATCACTTTGGTGAACTCTCCGACCACTATGGTGAACTATCCGACCACTACGGTGAACTATCCGACCACTACGGTGAACTATCCGACCACTACGGTGAACTATCCGACCACTACGGTGAACTATCCTACCACTACGGTGAACTATCCGACCACTACGGTGAACTATCCGACCACTACGGTGAACTATCCGACCACTACGGTGAACTATGCGGAGCAAAGATCGTCGGTGAGGGAGAACCGGCGACTGCAGTGATCAAAATGAGTAAACAACAACTGACTAAGTACTACAACATCGAAATGAAGCCGGAAGTACACTGATTACAGACAACGGCTCACCGAAGGGCTCTGGCCACGATGACACGCCCGCAGCGGTGAAGTTGCTGACCTCGAGGAAGAAAGACGTGGACAGCGAGTTCTCGGCAATTTCAGGCGACCAATTTTAGCTGGCTGGATTCGCAAGGAAAAGATGGAACTAGGACGGCCTTTACCGAAATGGCAACAGCGCTGGGGAGACGATGCGAGCTTGTTGGAGCGATGACAACGGCGGTGAAAACAAAGGAAGAAGAAAAACGACGACGACGACGTCTTGGTACTTATAGCGCGGCGCAGAAGCTCAAGGAAGCCACGACGGAGCCGCTTACGCGCGCTGTATGACATCAAGGACGGCCACGACGCTACTTGAACGCCAAGAAGGTCCGACGGCAATGTAGCTTAGGCGGTGAACACTGCTTCACGAAATTACAAAATTGCCATACGCCAAAATTCACAAATTACTCTCAAATTTTCATAACAACTCAAAAATCTCCAAAAACAAAAGTTGTTCAAAATCGAAAAGTTCTACAACTTTGCTTCTATAACCATCTCCTAATTCGGTCTAGATTTTGAAATGGATTTTCGTGGTAGGATTTAAATGTCAAAAAGTGGGGTTTTCTCGAAAAATTCAAAATTCAAACAAACTTTGAACTAGAGTCAACTAATACAATTCAACACACACCACATGAATATAAACTTGTTTTAGTGTATGCATCTCAAAGTTTTCACCAAATGCCAAATGCTTTGCAATGCATATGATGACATGTGTCGTTTTAGTATTTTAAACACCCGAGGTGTTACAATCCTTCCCCTAAAAGAAATCTCTACCAGAGATTCAAAGCCATAGAGTAAGTAATGGAAAAGGAAATGTGACAATCCAAAACATCCGAAACTTTTCCATAAAACAACCGAGGTTCTTTTACAAAACACAATTTGTAGCAACCGAGCTCAACTAACATTATTCTATTCTATATTGACGCTAGAAACTCTGGAAACTTTTCTAACATGTAATCTTCTGATTCCCAAGTAGCTTCCTCTTCTGAATGTTGATTCCATTGTATCTTGTAGAACTTTATTGTTCTCCTCCGAGTAACACGATCTTTCTGATCCAACACTCGGATAGGATATTCTGAATAAGTCAGATCCGGTTCAAGTTCCACTCCCTCAACTTCAACATTCCGCTCAGGCACTCGGAGGCACTTCTTTAACTGAGACACATGGAACACATCATGTACAGCTGATAAATGTTCTGGTAATTTCAAGCGATATGCCACTTTTCCAAACCTCTCCAAAATTTGATATGGTCCAATGTATCGGGGTGCCAACTTTCCTTTAACACCAAAACAGTTAACTCCCTTCATTGGTGATACTTTCAGATATACAAAATCTCCTTTGTTGAATACCAATGGTCTCCGTCGTCTATCCGCATAACTCTTTTGGTGGGACTGAGCTATTTTCAAATTACTTTGTATTTGCCTAACCTTGTCTTCCGTTTCTTTCACAAGGTCAACTCCAAAGAATCTTCTTTCTTCGGGCTCCAACCAACTCAGCGATGTTCTGCACCTACGGCCATAGAGTGCTTCAAATGGAGCCATTCTAATGCTTTCCTGATAACTATTGTTATATGAGAACTCGGCCAAAGGTAAGCATTCGTCCCACTTGTTGGAATAATTAAGGACACAACACCTTAACATATCTTCAAGCACTTGATTGACTCTTTCATCATCCATCGATCATCTGCGGATGATAAGCTGTACTATACAGAAGTTTAGTACCCAATGAAGCATGTAAGTGTTTCCAAAAGCTGGAGACAAACTGTGTACCCCTATCTGACACTATAGTCTTGGGTACTCCATGCAAACTCATGATTCTTGCTAAGTACATTTTGGCATATTGGATCGTAGGATATATTGTCTTGACTGGAAGAAAATGTGCTAACTTAGTGAGTCGATCTACAATAACCCATACTGAGTCAAATCCCTTTGATGTCTTGGGTAGACCAACAATAAAATCCATACTTATGTCCTCCCACTTCCAAGATGGAATAGGCAATGGTTGTAATTCACCAAAGAGACCTCAAATGTATAGCTTTCACCTTTTGACAAGTATCACACTTTGCTATATATCTAGCAATCTCTATTTTCATTTTAGTCCACCGTAATCTTTGCTTCAAGTTATGGTACATCTTGTTACTTCCCTTGGATGGATAGATAACCTAGTAGCATGTGCCTCCTCTAGAATTGATTGTCGCAACTCGGAACCTTTGGTACCACCAAAGCGATCCTTGAACCACAACACATCTTTATCATCTATCTGTCAAGCATTCTCGCTTTTCCATTCTCAACTCTTTCCTTGATATGGGCTATACCCTTGTTTTCCTTCCGAGCAAAGAATAACTTGATCTCGAATAGTGGCTTCTACAATTATGTTGGTCAAACTTCCTTGTTGAATTACTTCTATATTCAACTTTTCCATTTCTTGACATAAAGTCAAACCCATTGTTTTCACCGCCGCACAATTACAATAACTTTTATGCGATCGAGAGCATCTCAAGACTACATTTTGCTTTACCAGGTGATAATGTACTTCCAAATCATAATCCTTAATCAGTTCTAACCATCTTCTTTGTCGCATGTTCAACTCTCGATCGAGTAAAGATATACTTTAAGCTCTTGTGGTCTCAGATACATATGGCACGTATTACCAAGCGTGTAATGCCGCTAAATCTTTAGAGCATGAACCACAAATTTGCTAACTCCAAATCATGAGTAGGATAGTGTTCTTCATGTTGCTTAAGTTGCACGGACGCATAGGCAATGACTCGGCCTTCTTGCATCAATACACATCCAATACCAATACCAAGCATCACAATAAACATCAAATGGCTTCTCGATATCAGGTTGAGCTAACACCGATGCAATGAG